TGCACACACAAAAAACTGGAAGTCTCTCAACTGAAAATAATATTGTGGCCTTATCTGCGACAGATACGATCTGCTGTGGGCAAGTAGAGCATGATGCTATAACCTGTGTTCTCTAACTGCAGGAAACGCCGAATGAGAAGCAATTTATTTCTTTGTGTATGTTGGGGCCCCCGCAGTCACTGAATGATCAATTGCTCATTATGACTAAGGGAAACGGGTCACAACAGGACGATCAGGGCAGTTGTGCCGTATGCTAAATTTATTTCTGAGGGTGTTTTCACCTCCGTGAACAGCAGCGATATATGGGAAAAATTCAACTAATGTCATGCCCTGTCTTTCCGGCCTGTAGGTCCGGACCAGCCATGCGTTGATGCCTCTGATTGGCCGGATAACCTCATTGGCTGCAGCCATTCCTGTTCATTTCACACTTCACTCTATTACTTGCATGAGAAATTACAGATTGGTGTCGTTGTTTGGTATTGTTTTCATATTCCCGTGGATGCGTATGAGCTCATGCCTCAGTGTGTGTGTGTGTGTGTGTGTGTGTGTGATTTGAGACCACATTCTCTGACACTCCTTCTCAGTCTGTCACCCCTTTTAATGAGCTTTTGCTAGTTCCTGCAGAAGTCGAACCCGACGCCATTTACCATTTAATGGTCATTAGCTCCTGGGATGTGTCCTAATTGAACCAAGGCAATCAACATGCCTGGCCCTGTAAGTGTGAAGAAGTGAACTGTGGGTAATTTCTGTATATGACGGTTGGTGTGACACTGTAAGCTAGCATGAAGCAAATGGCTGCGATTACCAGATGGGAGCGCAGTTTGTGATGAGTCCTGGTGAAGCAGCCAAATTAAAAATGCTTAACAATGACAATGTCACCATGTTGGAGTTGACCTCATGTCCTACTGAGTTTTTATTCACGTAGTGAAGGACCGGCCAAGGATGAAATCCATGGAACTTTCAGAAAAATGAATAGAAAAAAAGTGATACAAATATTTGGAGTTTAGTTTTGTTTGGCAGAGATGTAAAAATGCTAACAGATTAGCACAAGGACACTAAATATTGTTTGGTGAGTCCAGGGTTTGGCAATAATGATAAAAAGTTGTACATTAGCCCGTGAAGCTAAATCTTCTCCCAGACACTTAAAGTTCTGTCCTACATTCAAAGTAATTCAATCTCTTAGTTCCACAACAGTCACAAAAATCATCGACCTTTGCCCTAAATTCTTAAATGACAGGTTTTCTAGCTCGACAACATAACTAAGAGTCGACTCAACACAAAATGCAGTTGTGTTACACCCACAGGGTTGTGGGTTTGATTCTGGACTTATAGGTAAAAGGTCACTAGGACTGAGACAATGTTGCCATTAGTTTCACCATCGTCGTTCTTGTTGAACTCTACAACATTCAGAGCAGCTCTCTACAGTGGCTGATGTCAGAGTCAGGGATGAGCTCCCTTCAATCTGACCCAGTTTGTTTCTTAACAGTAAACTGTTTTTTTTCTTCTTTTTTTTTCTTCTAAACTCTATATCCGTTGTTGACTGCCAGCCTGTGGATCAGTGAAATTGAACAGGTGACACGGGAAGGTTTCACCCATACAGTTGGACGGAACCACAGGCTATTCACACTTCGATCTGCTCATCGAATGGGAACAGCGGTGAAATTGTAAACCCTCCTTTGAAGGCGACTGGTGTGACTCTGCGGCTGCTTTGTTATGCAGCTGCAGATACTACAGTGAACTGTGTGTCTTCTTCTTCTCCTGCTCTGCACTTCGCTTCTGCTCCTTTCACTGCACAGATTCAAGCAGCTGGCAGGGAGCGTCTCAGCCCGGGCTCGGCAGAGTGGAACACCTATTCAGTCACATTCTTTTCAAGAAGTGCTGAGCGCTGAAATATGAGCACATGAACCTGTCTTCTGGTTCAGAACCGATTCCTCTGCAGGCCTGTGAAGTCGCTCCGACTTACAATCGAAGACGCCGCCTGTGTCCATGAAATCTACGGCACGGCGTTCCCTCCATGGGTTACCAAGTTATTCGTGCAGGGTTGTATGTGTATGTACGCATTTGTGTGTGTGTGCTTTACGTCTAATTGTTACTCACTTTGAACCATTACTGGTATTGTTACTGGTGGTGCTGGTCCTAATGAGGCAGAACCTCATTTGGAAGGCAGTGGGTGAAGTTAGGATGAAGATGTAAGATGTAGTTAGGCAGAGGTGAGCCCAACGCCAGCATTAGCTCAATGACTCCCTCTGCTCCGTCTGATGCCAGTAATGGAGAACCACGGCTTTAGCATTAGCCAGTGCTCACTGTACATTTAGCCTTGGGCCACACTGGGCTGAGGTAATGGTGACTTTTAATAATAAAAAAAAAGTCAGTGGTAAAATTTAAAATTTTCATTTTGATATTCCCTCAGAAAAATAAGGTTTGTGACCCCTGACTGTAAATATTGGAGTCGCTCTGAAAGATGTTTTATTTTGAAAAATCGACTGATTACTGTAATTCCTGTATTCTTTTTAAATGACTTAAATGTGAATTATTTATATTAAAACTAGAATAACTGGAAAAAAAAAACAACTTACAACGGAAACACGAACAAGCACAGGGACGTGTGTATTTTTAAACGTAACAAGGTGACACAGGTTTGGAACAGATCATAAATGAGAGTGGATTAGATTAAATTAGATTACCTACAATTAGATTTGCTCGAATTTCATTGGTCCCTTTCAGGAGATTTCCAGTGAGCACAAAAAAAACAAAAAAAAAACAAAAACACAAATGTCAGTTTGTCAGAGTCAAAAGTACAAAAAAGTAAACAGATTTAACGCTTGAAGTGTTTCAGTATTTTTTCAATGTAAAAGTATTATTGCAGTGTTGTGTTTGAACTCCGATTACTGCCCCCCCCCCGTCCCCCCCCCAAGTTGTACAGAGTGAAGGCAAGTGAAACAAAGGGAAAAATAATTGGTTGAATATTGACCTTCTGGACGTTAGGATCAAAACCCATAAATGTACGAGGACACACACACACACACAGACCGACAAAGACATACACACACACACACTGTGTTTGCTCAGATCACTGTGTGGATTGAGTTCAAAGGGCCGTTAGACAAACACG